AATATATTGTATGAATAAATATTCCTTAAAAACAAGAGTAACGGAATGGCTTTTGGGCTTAAACTACACCGAAACAGAATCCCTGTTAACTCCCATTATTTAAAATATTATACAAACATACACACATACACACGCGCGCGCACACACACACACACACACACACACACACACACACACACACACACACACACACACACACACACACACACACACACACACACACACACACACACACACACACACACACACACACACATACACAGCGCTAACGTGTAAATTAGTTTTTAGTTTTTAAAAATGTTTTTTAATTGTTTTTTCTTTATTTTTTCCCGTTTATTGTAACTTTAATTACAGAAATTGCAATTACAAATCATATTGTCGCACGAAGTATACTAAAGTTAAAGGTATGTTGATAAATGTTACATTAAGGGACGAGAGTCTGGTTTAGTCATACAGTTCTTTCCTAGTACTAAAACCAGGCTCTCACAAATTAAAATGGTTATACCTCCAATATAAATATTAAAAGGCAATATAAACTTGTGAGAGCAAATAAAGTAAACATTATTATTATTATTATATACTGTTTCAGTCTATCATTCTAGGAGATGTTTAAAAGAATATTGAAAATAAGTTATGAATAGAAATAGGTGTAAATTGAGTCAACTTACTGGAATTGAAATATTGTTGCGCAATCGAATTTAAAAATATATATATTTGTAAGAGACGTGGAAAGCTTAATAAGTAACATAGTAACAGTTGAAATATTATTTGTGCAATTGTACTATTGAATTTGAAAAAAAATTATCATCAAGAAATATATTAAATTGCAATGACATTAAATAACTTATTATTAATGCAAATAAATAATTGCCACGTGTATAGTGGCAACACCATACACGTGGCAATTATTGTGTGCCGGTTCTGCTATACATATATTCTAAGCATATCGAAATTTATAAAATGCAAAAAATAACTAAGTACATCTAGGCGAAAAAAAACCATAAAATACCCGCTCGACCTGCTCTTTCCCTCCAATGTACGTACTTAATAGACTTGCAACGTAGTTCAATGATACATATCTAGATTAACAAGTGATTGTAACCCGCATATCCTAAAAACACCACCGCAAAAAACAAAAAATTTTGTCGCGACGCGACGGATGGTTTCGCAAACAACAATTTCAGAAGTAATGTAACAGCACTAAACTAGCTCATTAAAGTTGAAACAGTTACTTAAGTACCGTAACTGTAGTGAAACATCCTCGATAGTGATAAAGAGGCCCCGTCTCCTCTTTTTACTGCAGTGAATACGATAATATCATTATTCCACTGGCAGGCATAGTTGACTGCACATACAAGTTTAATTTAGAGATCAAATACACTAGTAGTGAGAGCACCTGGGTAAGCGCTGCAGACCCTGGATTGTTGTATCACAAAGGTTTCCGATATTGATATAATATTATTGTAATTATAATTGAGAACTTAGTCTAAGTTCGATCATAGAAGTAGAGCAAAGTGCAAGATTTTTCCGTCAAGAGTCACGACCCCTTTTTCTACAGTGTGAACGAGATGGAATAATTAATATCCACCTCCCTCGCACGTTTTTTTATCTTGTCATATAAGAAATATTATTTTAAATGACGCTTCATTCTAATAGACGCTAGTTATTCATTTATTTGTATTTGTTAATCAATAAATTAATACGTTTATCAATAATAATATACTACGAAAGGAACTCGTTCCAACAGAGTGTTCCCCGACATCCACGCATGTTTTTTTTTTATAAAAGTTAAGGTGACAAACCAACACAGTCCACCTGATGATGAGAGGATGCTATGACCCACAGATACATTAATCATTTTTTAAGACTACCCGCAAGTTTGAACGCCTCGTTACCAGCAAGAATGTTTTTGGTTCTACACTCACCATACGAAACAAAGCAGCATTATGTTGCTATTTCACGCTGGTTTACCAATCATGGAACAATATTGCTGCAGGATACAACGTGGTCGATGGTGCAGTTGATATCTTCAAAAAGTAATAGGAAGTGGTAGCTTTGGTACTGTTAAAATATTCCGAAGTCTTTCCTCCGACATAATAATTCTTGATGTAAAAATCAGTTCCCACGTTTTCAATAAAAATTATTCGCCAGGACTCAGGCAGATGAATGCGTATTCATGGAACGATATCGTTGGTTAAAAAATCAAGATGGTGAAACGTGAGCCGCATATATTGACGTAGTCGAGTAAATTTAATAATCCAAATTGACAGATTATAACTGTTGACTTTATGACAGCAATATGTTAATATATAGTATGACATATACAATGACGTTGTTGCTTGAGATCGAAAACATATTGCTTTATTCATAAACTTGTTGTTTTCAAAATTGACGTCAACGTCAATGCGACCAAGTTATAGTATTATAAAAAATGCAACATTCCATTAGCTGATTGAGTCCTGTAGATTTCAAAGAAGGAGACTGAAAAAATCCTAAAAAATCTTATGGCTTCAGATAGACAACCGACTGGTTTAAAACACCAGACATAAGATACGTAAAAACCAACAACGGGAAGCAGCGTCAAATGTACAAGATATTTATTACTATAATCACGATTATGGAAAATCTATTATTACCCATTATATGATTATGTAAGAATTTTATCACAGCTTTATTATAAATCTTTTTAAGCAAGAATGGTCCCCAACAAATTTTAAATCGTTATAGATCCTAAATGGTCATTCAAAATGAAAAATTACTAGACAAACCTAAATATGATTTTCAAAGACCTAATCAATGATACCCCCTTGACATATGTAGTACGTCGACTTTTATTTATTTTAAGCAATATGGCGTCTGGTTGTCACCATATTGAATTTTGATTGCTATCATATCTTTAATGACACAAGATTAAGACAAATCGATTGACGTAAGAATCATCAAAATGGGCCCACGCTGCCCACGCGTTTGGTCTCTAGAGCGCCACAAAGTAACAAACAAAAATACATACATACATAATATATAGGCTGATAAACACATTGCCCTCCGCAGTCGGTTGAAAAGGAAACTAAGTAATGGCACCAAGGCCATTTGATCTCGTCTTACGCATTTGTTTTTAAAATGAAAGGTCATAAAACTTTGAAATGAAAACATCGTAAGTAATAAATAAATAGATCGTAGCAAGATGGGGCAAGGTCGTCAAAACAAAACATGGAATCATCAGTTTTGTGACGCTTTTTAAATTGTTGTGCTATTCTAGTGCTTGTGTCAGGATCAACGGGGTCTACTCGGACTGGTTTGGCATTCATAAAGGTGTCAGACAGGGATGTGTGGCTTCCCCGTGGCTGTTTAACCTATTTATGGACAGTTGTTTGCAAACTTTGAAAGTTGAAGAATATGGGTTGAGAATGGGTGAGTCAACAGTCAAATGCCTTTTGTACGCCGATGATCAAGTCATATTTGCATCGTCGGCGGCCGAGTTGCAAATGATGGTTACTTTAATGAATTGGTCATTGAAAGAAAGAGGTATGAAAGTGAACGCAAGTAAGATGAAAGTGATGGTTTTTGAAAGAGAAGAAAGTAAAACTTTATGTGAAATAAGAATAGAAGAGGAGTTGATTGAGCAAGTGGATGAGTTTTTATATTTGGGATGTTTATTTAGCAGGGATGGTAGATATGATAAGGATATAGAACGACGAGTGAACGCAGGAAATAGAGTGAATGGAGCTCTACACGCTATTATGAGGAGTCAGAATGTGTCAACTAAGGCACGTATGGCAATTCATAATGCTGTGTTAGTCCCTACTTTAATGTATGGTAGTGAAAGTTGGGTCTGGCAGAAGAAGCATGAGAGTAGAATAAATGCTGTAGAAATGCGATCGTTAAAGGAGTATGCTAGGGCTGAATCTGAATGACAGGGTGAGAAATAGTGTGATAAGAGAAAAGTGTGGTTTGCAAGATGACGTTGTGACAAGGATTAAGAAAGGAATGCTTCGGTGGTTTGGTCATGTAGAAAGAATGAACGAGGAAAGAGTGACAAAGCAAATTTATGTTGCAGAAGTGAACGGCAGGGTCGGGAAGGGACGCCCTAGACAAAGGTTTATCGACCAAGTCGGCGATACATTAAAAATGGGCCAGATTAGGAGTACCCTTAACCGACGAGCGTGTATGCGTAGATATATGGATGTAAAGGAGGCGAGAGAGGTGTGTCAGGATCGCGCCAAATGGAAGTCTGTAGTCTCTGCCTACCCCTCTGGGTGACAGGCGTGAGTGTTTATGTATGTATATGTATCTACCAATGTTGTAGCGGCGCAGCCTCCCCCTAACCTGAACCCTCTGAGATAAATGTTTGTGTCCATCAATGGGAAATATGTACAGATGTTAAAAATAAAACTATCGCTTAGTATTTTTGACTATAATTGTAAGTATGTATGCTGTAATTATAAAAAAACTTAGACCAACGGTCTAAGTGAAAAAATTATAAGTCAATAATTTTACTACGGCCGATTTTGTGTTTTAAATCTACATAATTAAATTCTACTATTGCTTATTCTGATTACCGCTTTGGTAATATTACATAAAACCTAAGATCACAGGTAAACATTCATCTATGCAATGATATTCTTTTTTTTTGTATACTATATCATTGCATCAATACCATTATCAAACGTACGGACAAGAATTACACTGTTCTATTTTCTTCGAGCTTAGTTTAACTACAAAGAAACTACGTACGTTGTTAGACTCACACTGTTGTGTATAATGGTTGCAGTACAAATGGGACGGAGCCCGACAAAAAAAAACCACATTCGTACAGAATATCAGTGTAAACAGCATAATACAGCAAGGTCGTTTACTGGTAACGAAGTATTCCATCTTAGTCCTCAGGATTACTATCGCATAGAGATGTATGTGTATGTACAGAGATGGTATATCAAGAGGACTGGTTGCGCGTATGTCATTATTAATTCTATAAAAAAAAACACCAAAAGGATAGTTACCTATATCTTTGGGTAAATGAGGTTGTGTGTTTATCCATTCTCTCATTTGCTCGATTGCCTTTGTTGCTTCGTGTGTCTTGCTGTTGTCCGCCATGCCTCAGGATTTTTCTGTAAACTAATGTTTCGTTACAAGTATATGACGAACTGCTGTAAAATTTTATTTGTATCTCTAATTATTTGTTTTAAGTTCGTTATTTGTAACTCCTTAAATACAATGGCAAGTACTAATTACAAACTATTAAATCAGTAGCACCCACTACGTGTTAATCAATTTTATTCACAGTAAAAAAGAACAAAATAAATAATTTAAAATCAAAAATTTTGTACAAACGACTTCAATATAAATAATTAAAAAGAACTCAAAAACTATTGGTCAGACCTTGATCAAATATATGGGACCAAATGGGAAGCACCAGCTTTCAAATAAAAAAAGAATCATCGCAATCGGTTTACCCAGTAAGAAGTTATGAGGTAACGCACATAAAAAAACATACAGTCGAATTGAGTACCGGCTCCTTTTTGAAGTCGGTGGAAATAATTAAAAATTAAAAAATTTGTACAGCCAACTTCAATATAAGTTATTAAGATTAAACCAAAAAACTATTGGTCTGACCTTGATCAAATTCATATGGAACCACACGACAAGTACCAGCTTTTAAATAAAAAAATAATCATCAAAATCGGTTCACCCAGTAATAAGTTATGAGGTAACACACATAAAAAAAATATACAGTCGAATTGAGTGCCGTCTCCTTTTTGTATTTCGACAGAAAATACAAGGAATATCGGGTGGCGAATTTGAGTTTTGAATCCACGACTTTTAGTTTCGCAGTTTTATCACGTGTATATTTAGGGACAAAACATAATATTATTTAGAGAAGTTATAAAAATATTAACAAATTCAACTTTTACTTATATTATTTTTACTTCATGTGTAACAACAATACAAATTAACTGTGTTATATTTAAAATACATTAGAAATATAATAAAAATGAAAAAGATTGTATTTATGGCTACAATGTTTCATTTAAAATACAAATACCAATTAAATTGTCTGTTTAGTATGCAACTAATTCAAGGCTACACAGAATGAGATAAAAAAAAACCTGTTTCTTGAGAATGGGCATCTAAAAATTAAGTGATCGACTGAGCGTAATTTAAACATTACTACTGTAAGTGAGCGGTAAAAAGAAGTTATAAGTTGACTCGATTATATACTTATTTATTTACTCTATTATTTACTCTTTTATCTACTCTACCACTTACTTTTCAGTTACTTGTCTATTTATTTGAATACTAATTTGATTATTTAATTGACTAATCTCCTGTTTTTCTTGACTACTTGATTCCTTACTTGACTATTTAGATGTTTCTTTAATTGACTATTTACTTGATAAATTATATGATTATTTACCTGACTGTTTACTTGATTATTTAGTTTACTATTTACTAGATTATTTCATTAATTATTTACTTGACTATTTATTTAATTATTTTCTTGATTATTTATTGAATATTTTGCCCGATTTATATAATCTAAATTGAAGTTGTTTATTTACTCATTATTTACTTGCCCATTAACTTGTCTAGATACTAGATTACTTATCCATTTACAACAAAATTGTTTCTTACATGACTATTTACTTGATTATTTACTTGCTATTTCCTTGGCTACTCAGTAGATGATTTATTTGATTATTTACTTCATTATCTTCTTGCTTCTAACTTGAATATTTACTTGATTATTTACGTGACTATCTAATTACTTATTCACTAGATTATTTACTTGCCTATATACTTGATAATTTATTTGATTTTTTACTTAATAATACTCTTGCTTATTACTTGGCTTTTAATTTATTATTTAAGTACTTGAAAATTTACTTGCTTGTTTACTTGATTATTTAATTGTTTACATTGTGAATTTTACTTGACTATTTATATATTTATTTAGACGAGAATAAATAATGTAAGTCTAACGCTATATAGAACAACGTATTTGTCATGCACGCCGAACGCAACACTCTACATGATGTTAAGGTCTTACTAACTCTTATCTAGCTATCGTATCTACTTACTTAAAAACATCCCAATATACTACAACTTGTCGAGTTTTCACATTTTCATTTTTATTTTTATCGAAAAGGGAAAATTAATGTTCGACATTTGTTTTGCTAATCTCCGCGTTTTAATTATTAACACTCGACTATTACCTTTGAAATTAGCCTGATATTACGTTTTTACAAGCACTTCCGTATGTATACGTACGAGCATCGTGTTTGCTTGACGCCGACCGTCTGTACCCTTTATTTTGCGATATCAGATTACGACAAATTTTTCCTTCGCATTGTTATCAAAACATGCGTTCATTATAGTTTATGTACGGGAGATGCGTGTTATGAGATCCCTCAGGTAAAATGATTCCCCACTGTATAAGAGTGACTACAAGCGACATCTATCCAAATACGCAACAAACGTCATCCCCGCAACCCCGCCAACCGCCAGTTGCATCTCCGAGTGTCATGGCGGTGTGAGCGCTTAAAGTGATTTTTTTATACTTATTATAAACCAGGGCTTGACCAAACCCCACCTGGTGGTAAGTGGTAATGCAGCCTTGGATGGTAAATCGCACTGTCTTATCGTAACAAAAGCCTATTCACTCTTGCCTTGAAGACGACTAGATTGTATTCGGACGGAAAGATAGACGCCGGCAAATTATTTTACTTCTTTGCTGTACGCATTACAAAAGACGAAGTAAACCGTTTGGTTCTAATGCGTGGATTATCGACAACAAAGGGATGAAGACCTGCCTACCGTCTAGTTGTCCGATGATGGAAAGGAGAGGGAGTAATTAAAGCATGTAATTCCTGCGCACACTCACCGAAATGCATCCTATAAAATACCGAGAGACTGGCTACACTGCGCCTGTGCTTGAGGCTGGAAAGATTGGTTTCAACCAAAGTCACCAATGAGCCTCTTACCACGTCTCTCCACTGAGTCCCATGCTGCCAGGTGGCATTTTGCAGCACCAGCTCATATGTGACAGTAGTACTCCATGCACGACCAGACTTACGCTTTATATAAGGTACGAAGCTGCCCCGGCGTGAAGTACCGCCGCGGGGGAACTTGGTGTCCTTGCAAAGACACCAAGTTCCCCCGCGGCTGCTTTGACTCTGGACTCAATGAACCACCCATAGATTAGGTTCGGAGAAAATTCAATCCCTAACAACTGAAGGCGGTCAGTGTACTCTAAGGATACATTCCGGAAAGTAGTAACCAAGATAAGCGGGCTCCTTTTAGCGGTAAAAAGACACGCTTGTGTTTTGGAGGTGTTGAATCTTACGAGATTGGCGTCGCCCCATTCGGTGACTGCCTGTAGTGTGAGACTCACACGCTCAACCATAGCCTCTCTTTCTGACTGGATTTGATCCCGACTGGCCCGGGCGCTTAGTTGGTATCTCTTCACAACTGTGCTGTCGTCTGCATACCCATATATACCGGGAATGAGCAGATCGTTTATGTGCAGCAGGATGAGAGTTGAGGAGAGAACGGACCCCCTGAGGGACACCGGCGTTAGTCGCCACAGTATCGGATGAGCAGCCATCAATGACGACCCGGAGAGACCGTTCACTCAGAAAGTCTTTCACCGAGACAATTAGGCCATAATTAGACATAAGCTGTACGCTGAAAGCTTGCCCAATAGACTAGCGTATCAAACCCTGTCAAAAGCCTTCGAAACATCGAGGGAAACAGCAAGTGCTTCACCACTGTTCTCGAGGGCTTTGCCCTATATGTGAGTGGCATACGCTAGAATGTACCCAGTTGATCGATTTCGGTGAAACCCTTACTGGCGATCACTGAGGAGATAATTTTGCTCTAGGTATACCCTGAGGTGGGCGTTCAATATACGCTCCATAATCTTGCAGAGTATGGAGGTATTTGAAATTGACCGATAGTTGGCCGGGTCGGTACTGCTACCTTTTTTAGGCACAGGCTGCACGTTGGCCAGCTTCCAAGATTTAGGCACAATTCTAGTCCTGAATGAGAGGCGGAACAAGCGTTTCAACACAGGAGACAACTCATATGCATAGACCTTTAGAACTATAGCTGCTATACCATCAGGTCCACTAGCGTTCTTCGCGTCTAGACTTCGCAAGGTTTTAAGAACCTCCTTGTTGGTGATACGGACCTCTGACATAGAGGTATCGCAGTGAGGTAATTGAGATGGTACGCTGTTGCTACTATCCAGGCGCGAATTGCATGCAAAAAGAGAAACAAATAAGTCCGCTTTCTCCTTAAGCGCATGCACCAGTGAGCCATCTAGTTTTACCAGCGAAGGCAGTGTAGACTAATAGAAGTTTATCTCGACCGTTTCGGCGAGAGACCAAAAAGCTCTACTGCCAAATGGTTTGACAGAGAGTTTTGTGCCGATGCGTTCAATGCGGTCGAAACTGATAAGACAGTTAAATTTGGGTTACATTTCAGCTATCACCACAAGCAAACATGTGGGAACCGTCGGATCGGATACTTCATCCTTCGACGCAAGAGGTTATTCAGAAATCTCCACAAGTGCCACAGTCGTCGGCACTAGTACCTATACAAGAATCTCTACCTGCAACGCCTCATTCTTTACCAGAAAAACCAATGCATATTGACAAGTGTAGCTTCGCAAGATTTTCTTAGTGACAGGCAATCGTCCAAAAAGCTACTTCGTAGTCATCTACCTCCAATTTTGACTACAATGCTTGAATCTAATGCAAACGTGTCTCCAGAAATGGCTGTTGACCTTTCATCCACATCTTTTGCGGTCTTAACACCGGCGCAAATCCAACCAATCCAACCAATTTTTTACGTGGTAGAGCCATGCTGCAGCTATATTATAGTTGTAGCACGAATGGGTTGGCTCGACCGGGGAAGGACCACGCTCTCACAGAATACCAGCGTAAAATAGCAGCTTAACGCTGCTGTGTTTCGTATGGTGAGTGTAGAGAACCGGAGACCATTTTTACCTGAAAACGAGGCATTCCATCTTAGCCCTCACGGGTGACAAAGCATCTGCATTTTGATACTTAATCGAAGATAGATGTAGCTGT